ACCCAGTGCTTCGCCTGGCACAGGTTCTGGGTCCCTGGGCACATGAGCTGGTGGCAGTCTGACCCCACACAGGTCCAGTGCTGCAGAACACAAGCCTGTACTGCAGATCAGAGAGCCCAGGGCTTGGAATCTTCAGGTCCCGGCGAGTCCTGATGACCAAGCTAGGCTACATCTGAGGTATTAGCCTAGGAGGGGACAAAGTACTCATCAGAGCACTGACCACTAAGCCCAGGCCAGGGTAAGCCTGTGGGCTGGGCAGCAAGACTGCTCTCAAAGTTCAGCCTGTGGCCCACACATCTGCTCCCCCAAGGGCAACTTCAGTTTGGAATTGAGCCTACATATCCTTGTTATAGCAGGTCAGAGGGAAGGAGGGAGGGAGAGGTTGGCTCACCCTGCTTCGGGTGACTTGGTTGGTGCAACCTAGATTTCTAGGTTCTTGGATACTGGTCTTTACAGAGGCCTGGGTGGGCTCTGCACAGAGGAGTTGGGACAGGGTCGTGGTAGGAGAGCGACCTTTACCCACCTAATTGCCTCTCAAGAGATGAGTGAAAAAGGAGACTGACTCTGGCTGACCCCCATTGTCCCTTGGGCAGACCATGTAATGAGGGAGGGCAAGGAAGCTGACCTCTGGATGTACATGAGTGTTTTTGCATGTGATGACTTGGTGACTGTGTACATGAGAGTATACATACACATGCATGGCAGGGGATGTGCTTATGTGTGAATGTGTGTGTATACACATGTGTCTACGTGGGTGACCGTGTGTGTGAATGCCTGTGAGCCTGCATATCTGTATAAGCGTGCATTCATGGGAGCGGGTCCATTGGTGGAGCAGGGCGTGGTGAGTGAGCCTCTCTGGGTGACCCAGTCCTGGTGGAGTATCTGATGACTGACTCCGAGCAGGCAATGTGAGGAGGGGTGTCAAGCTGGTTTTCCTGGGTTGCTATGGAAATTTGTGGTAGGGCTGACTTTGGACACCTGGGGCATAGTGTCACGGGTGCAGACCTGTTTTCTTTCTGCTTCGTGCACTCTCCATGACCGTGCAAGTGAAGAACAAAGCAGCTAGCCTGAGGTTGTCTGCAGTCCCTCTTCAGGCCTCCCTGCCCGCAAGCTAGTGCTTGAGGCCAGTCCTTCACAGCCTAAGCACAGGTCAGCTCTCCACTGGCCACATGAGTGGTCAACGAAGCCTGTGTCTGAGAGACTCAGGTGCTGGGATCTGGTGAAAAGGGAGGTGAGGCCTGGGAGAGAGGGGTGTGTGGTCTGGATGTCCAGGGACTAGAAGATCCATTGCTCACTGTGTTCTAGGAGGGTTTCTTTTTGCCTCTGGATGAAGGGTATTGAGATATGGAGAAGGTCTGGGATCTGGACCCAGCATCACTCCAGGAAGGCTCTTTCAGTTGAATATAGGACTGGTCAATTCAACGGAGTGTCCAATTCCTCTTTTATTAAAAAGGAATGGAGCAGAAGTCCTAACCAGACCAACATGACCAACATGGATTTTGGCTCCTTAGACATTGTAAAGTTGCCTTGTGGGCCTGAAATTCTAATCCCTAACACATGGACCATAAGGGTATGGCAGAGGGTTGTTCCACTTTCCAACCATTCAAGGCTGAAAGGTTTTGGGTTGTCATGGCTACTGTGAGCCCTCGTAAGCATTTGGGTGATGGATGATTTGGGTTTTCATCCAGGAGCCAGATGAGGCTACAGGAGTGACACCTTCCCAAGAGATGCTCTGCCACAGAGGCCTGTACAGCTTGGTTGCCATAGTGAAAAGGTGGGGAGAATACATCAAGGTCCCCACCTTAGCTATGGCCATAAAACTCCTTATCTCCAAGTGGAAAAAAAAAGCTCAGGCTGTCCAATAGCAACAAATGTTTTAAAAGGTAAAAGGCAGAAATAATTGCAGACTTAAAGTAGGCGAATCTGTAACCAAGAGAATCCTACAAAGAGATACATTTTCAGTGTGACACTGGCTTTATGGACCTGGGGAGGACACTCCTGACATCTGCCCATAAGTAGAACATTACTGGGAACATGATATAGTCATCCCAGCAGAAAGAGTCCCACTGAAGTCACTTTCAGTATTTTGCAGTAAATTCAGTGTTCAGTGCCTTTAGTTAAGTTACTTATTCACACAACCTAGAGTGAAAAGAGAGAGAGTAGGGAGATACAATGGAAAAGGACGTGGACTTTGAGCGTGTGGTATCTCCCTTGCAATCCTGGCTTTGCAGCTGGGTCAACTTAGGCAAGTTTCTGTATCTTCTCTGTGCCTTGATTGCTTCTTTTGTGAACTGGACATGAGAATGCCTGTTTGCATACCTGATAGACACACCTGGGAGATTAAGTGGGCCTGATTCTGTGAATGGTACAGGATGCTACCAAGTGTATCGTAAGCACTGAACACATGGCAATTATAAATGCAGTGTTGAAAATGCCCCAGTGTGCACGTAATGATGTCTCTTGCAACTTCTCATTTGCTTCCACAGCAACGCAGGTTGTGGGGGTGGGGGCGGGGGATGGGAGGGACGAGTCAGCCTTGTTTCGTAGTGTGGAAATGAGATGTGAGCATTGGATTTGAACCCAGGTCCTCAAATCCCAGGTCTCATGCCCTTTCTACTAAAAAAATTATTTTTCTGTGTGTAGGATATGCACACATGCACCAGCATTGGTGTAAAAGTCAGAGGACAATTTGCAAAGGTCGGTTCTCTCCCTCTACCATGTGGGTCCTGAGGACCAAGCTCAAGACCTCAGTCTTGGCAGCCAAGAACCTTTACTCACCGAGCCATCTTGACAGCCTCTGTCTTCTCTTGAAGAATAATGTCATTTTAGTACATAAGGGTAAGGCTGACTGCTGCTGGCATTTTGGAGGCCTTGGAACATCTCTTGGTCATGGCTGGAGACCTCATGTGATAGATGAGGTATATTCTGGATGCTTCTTGACAACTAGTAGTGATAAGAGATGGGCAACTGTGCATGCCACCACATCCAGACACCTGGTTGCATTACCATGTAATCTGCTGGGAGAGGGAGGCTGCTAGGGAATAGCCAGTTGTCTACTTTGATTGACAGGTGGCTTGCTAGAGTATGGTCATCCAGGTTCTCCACCCAGTGTCAATGTCAACTACTACTGATCGACTCTTGGGAAATCAGTTCAGTTGGGAATGACTGCTCAGCCTCCAGGAACACTGTACTCCAAACATATTTTTAAAATGTGAATATTTGTGTGTGTGTGTGTGTGTGTGTAATTATTGTAAAAGCCTTAAATAATGTCATCATAGAAATCTTAGAACATGTCAGATCTTATGTAGACTATCTTCACCCATAAAATAGTGGCCACAGACATGCAGATTCGCCTCACCTTTGTATCAGACAGCTATCACCAGTGATACTATGAGTGATAAATCTGAATGCAGTGAATGATTAAGAACAGGGAAGCGAATGAGAGCCAGAAAATTTTGTTTCCCACTAAGGAGCTCCCTACTGCAACAGAATGCCAACAAAAGCCTGCTCTGGAAGGATGTGGACAGAGGGCATCTATTTTTTAAATATCAAAAATAATAAACAGGGCCAGTGAGATGACTCAGAAAGTAAAGGCACTTGTTATCAAGCAGGAGGACCTAAGTTTGATCCTCCAAACCCACATGGAGGAAGAAGAGAAGCAACTCCACAAAATAATCCTCTGATCTACACACACATGCTGTGTGCTACTCAAGAGCCCCTATGAAACAATAAATAAACGAATGTAATAAAAGACTCAAATAATGGCAGAATTTTTTTTAACCAACAGCAAAAGACACATGTAAATCAATTCTTTTTTGAAAAAAATTGGGAACTCAGAAGAAAAGTGAGTCTAGTCATATAATTATGGGAAATGGGTCTTGTTAAACCCTAGAAAGGGTTTTAATTTCATTAGTAGCCAAATATATCTGGAATGGTGTCACATGAAATGGTATTTGGTGCTTGCCCACATAATTAGCCAGCAGACTCTGCTTTAGAAGGCCCGTGCCAAATACTGGTGAGCACTCAGGGATCTGAAAGATGCTAGTTGATGCTGACCTTCAGAAAAACAATGTCCTGAAATGAATTACGATTCTCCAAAAGGGGAATCCTTTGACCCTGTAATATCAAGCCTGGGAAATCAACTCTAAAAGAAACAACCAGAAGCTGACCAAGGGGTGGAGGCAGAGGGCGACTGTTGTTTTGCTTGCTGATCTGCTGGGAGATTTTGTTTTTTTGAGCCAGGGTTTTGCCACATATCCTAGGATGGCTTCAGACTCACAGTGGAGCCCAGGCAGGCACTGGATAGACGGTGCTCCTCCTACATCAGCCTCCTGAGTGCTGGATTTTCCAGTCTGCACTGCCATCATCAATGTAGAAACATTTTTGGGGACAAAACAATGGAAAACTAAGGCGTTTGGGTGCACATATCTGCAATCCAATGTAACCGCAGCACTGGACAGGCTGAGGCAATAGACTCTAAAGTCTGAGGCTAGTCTGGGCCACAAAGCCAGCCCAGGCTACACAGCAAGACTATTTGAAATGTATTTTTTAATGTATGGATTTGGGAGATGGCACAGCAAGTAAGTTTGGATCTCTAGAGCCCCTTAAAAATCCAGCTGTGGCTGCATGTGTTTGTGAGTCCACAGCTAGGGAGATAGAGACAGGCAGATCCTGGGGGACTTGGACCAGCTAGCAAGCTCCAGGCTTGACAAGAGGCCCTGCCCCCCCAAAAAAGTGGAGAAATGATTGAGAAAGACTTTCCTTTGTCAACTTCTGAACTCTACATGTGCCTACTAGGCATGTGCAATGGAATTTAATATAACAGAGGTGGAGAGGGAGAGAAGGAGGGAGGGAGGGAGGAAGAGGGAGGGAGGGTGAGGGAGGAAAGGGAGATCAATGATAAGTTTTTCTATTATAATCCAGAAAAATTCTTCAGGAATTAAAACATAAATTTGAATTTTTTAAGCATTTATCTTACTCATTTATAACAAGTCCTTATATATTGAAGTGTTTGGGAAAGCAGATGTAAATATTATACAGAGAACAATCCCCACGAAACATCCAGAGCATGATGGAGAGCATTGTGTCCAGTCCTTTTCCAAAGCTGTCTACAGTCACTGGTCGATGGAGTCACTTTTCCTTCTGGCTCTTTGCTTCCCCTTCCCCTTACAAATAGAATGAATTGTGGGGCAAGGGACCCAGGACATTGGGGCTGAGAACAGACTTTATCCCATGACCCTGAATGTATCTGCTTTTTCCAAGTATTTTCACATCTGCAGAGTCACCACATATATTCCAGATGAGCAAAAAAGTGCCTCAAAGTCAAAAGAGGTGAGTGTTCTCAGAGAAACCAAGGGGGAAGTAACAGGGGGGTCAATAGGAAGAGAGAGAGAGGGGGGGGGAGAGAAACTCCCTCGCAAAAGCCAATGCAAACAGAAGGTCCAACACGTCTTTCCAGACCCTTCTACGCTCTTGGGCTGTGAAGACAGAGGAACTGGCTGACATCTGGTAATATATCAGGCTCACAGCTAACACTTCACACTGAGTGAGGGGCCTTGAAGTTTAGCTCCTAGGGACAGCATGGTGTGGTCTATCTTTGGCAAGTCCTTTTCATTGCTGTTACTGTCAAGATTGAGCCCGGAGCCACATGTACACTAGGCAAGCACTCTGCCACTGGGCTGCAGTCCCAGACCCTGAAACCATGTCTCACTAAGTTGCCAAAGTTGGCTTTGACCTTGCTCTATAGCCCAGGCAGTCTTGAACTTCCTATCCTCCCGCCTTAACCTCCTGAGTAGCTAGGCCTGCAGCTCTAGGGCAGGAAGCAGTTCCTTGGTCTTTGCCAATGCTCCTTGTACATCCCCAGTGGCTTGGGCCTCTCCCGGGTGCATGGGTAATATATTTATGCAGGCAACACTCAGACTCATTGCGATCCTATCATTTGATGTCTAGAAATCTAAATCATCCTGACCAAAGCCATCTACCCTACCCTCAGCTTGGGTACAAGCCAAGCTTCCAGCTGTCCCTTCATCTTGCCCATGACAGACTTCTTCCCCCTGCTTTGGAGGTCTTGGGCTGGAGGGGGCTTCTTGTTCAGAAGAGGAACTCTCTGGGTACATCCTGGTGACTTCTCTCTCTGCATGCTTGACCCCGCTGTTCTTGGCTTTGGTGCACTTGAGTTCTCTGCTTGGAAACTCTTCTTCTGAGCCCTTCTGAGACACCTGTGAGCAGTTGCCCAGAGACGATGCCCTGGAGGAGTGTGCTGCGTGGTGGTGCTGGGGGCCTGGCCTTCTGTAGTGGTTGTGGAGCCTCCTCTCTCGGTCTAGGCTGATGTTTTCAGAAACTGCCCCGCTCTGGCTCTCTCCTGAACTGCCCCAAGGGCCGTTCTCCTTTTCCTCTTGATTTCCTCCTTCTGCCTCTGGCTGTCTTTCTCTGGAAGCCTCCAGAGTCTCCACAGAGTGACCATCATCACGCTGTCTTCCTGAAGCCTCCCGAGGGTCTCCATCTCTAAAGCTCTGGTGTGGGATTTCCTCCTCGGGCACGCTCTCCTCTAACTGCTGGTTTTCTTGTGCAGCACTGACGTGGATTTCCCCTTCTCCCGCAGTGACTGCACCCTCTTCTGGCACATGGCAAACAGCTCCTTCTACTTTCAAGAACTCAGGGTCCTTCTCTCCTCTCTGGCTCTGCCTCCCTTCCCCCTCCTCTTCCTCATCTGCCCCAGGCCCCAGGGCCAACCTCAGCCCCTGCTTCCGAAGAGTTCCCTGGACAGCTCGAGGGTCCTCCTGAGGCAACATCATCCCTGTCTTCTGGGGGGCCTCCTCCATGGCCTCTCCATTCCTACCTCCTTTCTTGCTCTGCAGAATTTGTTGTAGGTCGAAGGCCTTTCGGACGGGTGCGCTGGAGACTGCTGTGGCACCCTTTGGGAATCTAGGGGTCATCTTCTTCTTCAAGCAGACTTCACAGGGACAGAACTCATCTCCCACGGCCCCCACACCTGGCCTGGTCCCTAAGGCTGTGCTGAGAGTGGGCCCATCCTCCAGGGTGAGGGAGAGGGCGCCCTGGCCAGGGAAGGCTGAGAAGTTTCGCAGGCCTTGAAGGCGACGCCTGCGCAGGGCTGTCTGTAGCGATGTCTGACCTCTGAGGGCTTCCCTCGGGGGTTCCGGGACCATCCTCCCTGCCCGGCTCTGGATCTTCCTCACCTCCCTGACAGTGCTTGCTTGAAGCCGTCGGCCCACATCCTGCTCCAGCTCAGTGACCATCTGGTCCAGCAGGCTGTTGTCCTGAAGGTTCCACCGGGCTCGGAGTTCAGTTGTGGCATGAGCCAGGTGAGCCATGAAGTCTTTCTCTACCTTCTTCAGCAGCTTGGACACCCAGAATGGGTCAGGGTCCAGAGATCTCCCGTGGGCCACGGGTGTGCTCATCTCCCTGGTTCCTGAGCTGGTCTTGACACAGGCTTGCTCACAGTCCGTTGCAGCCTCTCCGGACTTCCCTTCCAACCCCAGCTCCAATGCGTGAAGACTTTGACCCTCACTAGCATTTGAGTGGCTCTCACGGAAACGGCGAGGGAACTCGGTGGGCTCCTCTCTCCCAGCTAGGGGCCACAGTCCTCCCGAGGCAGCATCTCTCCCCGCTTCACCTTTTGACACTCTGGTGTCTTCTGGGGAGAGCTCAGCGGGAAACATTTCCTGACTGCAGACTTCAGCCCTTTCTTCCGGAAGCCCTTTCCCACGGACTCCATCTTCTTGTAGCCTCTCTCTTACTCTCCCTCCGGTCTCTTCTGATTGCGCCTCCTCTTCCAGCGTTGCGCTTTCGATGGATTGTTCTGGAGTGTTGCCCCGCGTCTGCTTCCTGCCACTTTTACCTGACTCCTCCCCACTGGTGGCACAAGCCCTCACCTGGGAGCCAGATGAGGCTGTGGAATGACTCAGTGCCTCTGGGTACCCCTGGTTCCCGGAATCGGGCCTTTGAGAGGGGATTTTCGAGGGTAAATCTACCCCGTGGGGAGCCAGGGTATTGTCCATGGCACAGGGCACATTGCCCTCACCCGAGCCTCCGGAGCCACTGCTGACATCCACACCAGAGGAGGAGGTGGGTGTGAAGTCCTCAGTCCCCAGCAGAGCCTGGTGTGAAGAGAGCTTCCTGAGGCCAATGTCTAGCTGGCCTTGCCCAAGCTCATTCCCAGGCCACAAGGTCTGGGAGATGCTCAACATCTCCTTATACTTAGGGGACTCTTTGTTACCATCAAAGAAATGGAGCCTGGCAAGGCAGGCAATGAGGGCCCCAGCAGAGTAGCTGAGCCTTTGGGCTACTGTGGTGGAGAGCTCCGGTAGACTGCTGGGCCGGTCTAGCTTGGAGCCCAGCAGGGCCTTCATAATCTGCGTGGAGGCGGAGACCCTGCTGGGGAGCGCATATAGGCTCACACCATGGTCCACAGTGGTCTCTTCTCCTACTCCTGCTTCTGCGGGGGCCTTGACTCCTTCACCTGATGCTGCAGCATGATGGGGGTCACCTCCTTCTGGCTCTGGCTGCTTATCAGTGACCCCTTCTGGCAGCTGCTGTCTGGCCTGAGCCAGTTCCCTGGGGCCTTTCAGAGAACAGTCATCACCAAGGTCCTCCTCAGGACTTTCTGGGCCATCGCTGGCCACCTCTGTGGTCTCACCTTCCATCTCACATGTCACGAGTACCGGCTTTTCTGGGATGTTGCTTAGCCACTCACGAACCGTAGCGTCTGGAGAGGTGTAGGGCAGAGCACTGGGTACCATACCACCATCCCCTTCCTGCTCCTCAAGGCTTCCCCTGACACCAGGAGACTTCCCCAGCAGAGACCTCCTGGGCTCAGCATGGCCATCAGCTTGACTGTGGTCACTGCTGGGGCCACTGCTGCTTATAGGATCCTTTCTGGAACATGTTTGCTCCTGGGGGGGAGTTGGGCAGAAGCTGCTGGCCCCCCAGCAGGCCTCAGATATGGGGGCTTGTGTTTGACCGCTGCGGGCTGTGAGGACAGAGGATGCCCCAACCTGTAAACAGCAGCAATCTTGGTGGGTTCCCGGATCTTCTGCCTCAGGCCATCTGTCCAGCAAAACAGAGGATGAGGAAGGCTCAGCAGTGGTCCCTGCCTCTTCCCACAGGCAACCAACCTCTTCTCTGTGGGCAGGCGTGGGATCTGGAGGGTGAGCTTGGCACTCGGTGTCCCCTGCTGGCTCTGCAGAGCAGGTGCTAGGATGGTACAAGCTGGAAGCACAGGCGGAGTTGGTGGGTATGATGGTGGCTTTGCTGGTGGCCTGTGGGTCCTGAAAGTCAAGAGACCTAGACAATGGTGATCTAAGATGCCCAGAGGCCTGATTCCCAGCACTGGGTGAGTTTGGAGGAAATCGAGGTGCTGGGCCTCCTGGGCAAGCCTGTTCTCCTTCCTGAGACGCTGTCATTTGCAAGGCCGTGTCCAGTGAGGGTTGAGTGTCCCTACAATAATGACACCGACTGGCATGGCCTTTCTGAGCGTCTTGGTAAGGGACAGAGACACTGGGCAAACACACAATACCAGCTGGCCTCTTCTGCTTTTTCTGCCCCTGTTGGGCTGGGGCAGTGGCAGGAGCTGGGAGAGCACTTCCCTGTGTGTCTTGAGAGTCAGAACTGCTTAGAGTCAGGGGCAGCCTCAGCTCGGGCTCACCTCTGGCCTCCTGGGCCCTGGTGCCCTGCCTATACTTCTCTGTCTGAATGCTCAGGGTAGAAGCACCGGGCCTGTCACCTTGGGTGGTTTGTCCCTGGGAAACCATGACCCTCGCCTGACTTGAGCCTCTGTGGTGCTGGTCACCACACTCACTGGACACTTCATGAGACTCGGCACTGACTGATGTATCAGAAAGGGCCCTTTCTATACCTTGGGTTTCAGGTCCCAAGCCACAAGGTCCTGTGTCCTCTAGGCAGGGGCCTTTCCCAGCTTCTAGCTCAGCCCCACTTGGGGAAGAAGCTGAGGAGACTGGATGCAAGGTGTCACTGTCTGTCTCACCTTCTGGACTCCAGGGACAGCAAGAGCACCTTCTAGGGTGCCTGGGACTTGAGACTGGGCTGGTACTATAGTTGCCGCGTCCTTTCCTATCATTGGTCCCCTGGCTGCAGTGGCTCCTGCATCCAGAGAGCTTAGACAGGCCCCACCTCCTCCTCCGAGTTGGACCTGCACCACCAGGGGTGGTCAGGGGGTTCCTCCAAATGTCATAGTTAGGCTGTGATTCCTGGTCCAAATCAAAGACTCCCTGGTATTCTCCATCATAGGGACCCAGTCCCTGTGCCCCATGTGCCAAGAACCCCCAGGGGTGGCCTTCCTGTCTACAGCAGAAGGGATCAGCCTCCCTCAGGACCTGGCCCTCCCCACTGGCCGGGGAGAAGACACTGGCATGCCCCACCCTCTGCGGCCACCGCAGGGTATCCTCGCCCAGAAGTTGGAAGCGGACTTTCATCTCCACAGACAAGCTGCCATCCTCATTCATGCAGACCTTCTTCTCCACGTCATCAGCAGCCACCAAAGAGCCAGGTGGGGCAGGTGTGTCCTGAGGGCACCTGTGCAAAGCAGGCCCTGCCCAGGCTTGATGACCCGGTGCCGGACGATCACTGAGACCAGATCTCTCTGGCATCAAGGAGAACTGCTGCGGCCTGCTGCCAGACCTGGCCCTTGAGTGCATCACACTCTGCTGGGCATTTGGTCCCCAGCAACCTGTTGCACCGTGGAGCAAGAGAGAAGAGAAAGAACAAGGCATCGAGTTACTGGAGAAAGCAACAGCAGAAAGACGAGGGCAGAGCCGTTCCCGAAGGACCTGTGGGTGCTACAGAGGAATAGAAAGAACTGAGTGTGAATCCAACCCGCAGCCACCAGCTACCTGCTATTTCTAGATCTGCAATTCATTGGCACTGCCTCATTATATGCAGCCATGCATATAGTACTTGCTGCATACTGAGTTGTTGCACAGAAAGCTTCTTGCACAGAACATCCGCTGCATATTAATCCTTAGTGAATAGGCACCAGCACAGTCAGGGTCTGGAGATGTGGCATGCAGGTGAAAACACACCGTGGGGATTCATTGACCTGGTACAGAAGGCAAGCTCAGGCTACTGCCTGCAATATGACCATAAACTGTAAACTGATATCATGGTGCTCCATCTCCCTCACAATGGCCAGGCTTTTGGGCTGAAGGAAGATTGCCAATAGAGGTCTAGACACACTACATCGGTTCATGATAGTTTAGCCTGCCCCACAGTCAGAAAAAAAGGGGGGCCTCAGGTGATAGAAAGTAACCCTAGGGAAGATGGAGTCCTGAGTGTTTCTCATTTCATCTCCCGAGCTATGCTTGGTGGGATGCACCTATGTCCAGCAGGACAGACCTCACGAACATATCTGAACAGGAAAAAGCATCGAACAAGTCTGGTGGCTCTTCTAGTATGTGCCAGACATTGTTTTTGTGTCCCAGCCACTGGTATGTCACAGTTTCTGGCACTGTTGTTTGTCATTGTCTTAATGGAGTCCCACAGAGGACAGCCCTTTGTTTATTCATCAAACTCTATTATCAGTCCAGTAGTTTGGCTGTAATTTTATTCTGCATTTGTGAACTATGCCCTCAAAATAAGGTATATGTTAATGATGAAGCTTAGACCCTGGCTCACTGTGGGCTTTTCTATATGTCTGAATGAATGGCCCATGGTCATGGTGTGTTTTAATCATGGTAACCTGCTGTAGACCACCACTACTGCCTAAGACAGCCATGACTCTGAAGGACTCAGTGCTAACTATACTCACAGGGCTCAGCACCTCCATTATGACCTGCTTGCTGGGAATCTTAATTGGTTATTTTAGACCCTAGAAACCTTGAGCTCAAATTTCCGTGTGTCAAAGTCTACACTGATCTTAGGCGTTCCCAGCAACTTTCTGCTCAGTTAAGGCTGATGGAAGAAGGAAGAAACAAGAAAGAACCAAAGTGACTGCAAGACCTAGGAACTGGGCCAAAGCACCTTTCCCATGGATCTTGAAGTGATAACAACCCAGCGTGTGGAGCCATTGTCCCCTGTGCAAGAAGCCATGGAGGCCCCGGAACTTACCACGTCCACTCCTGGCAGTCACACCAGATAAGGTTCTGGTCCTGGTCCCTCCAACATTTTCCATCTCCAGATGTCTGAAGGCCTCGTTCCCAGCACACACTAGAAGGGAGGGACCATCCAGAAGTGTCCGCAGAGAGTCCACCTAGAGGAGGGGAACATGGAGTTGGGAACCTGGTCTACAGAGACCCTCTGCTCCAGAAGGCCCAGGAAGGAAGATCGAATCTCTTCAGCTCTTCCTAACCCTTGCACATACCATCCTGGGTTCCCATAACCCACAATGCTTCCATGACTAGCCAGGGTTTGAGAAGCCACTGCCTGCAGGATCTCTTTCTCTGTCTCCACCAGCTGATAGCCTGTGACTCTGGATAGAAAGGAGGTCAGGACCCTTCAGCTGTGTCCGTGAGCACGCATCTACCCTCCGGAATGTTTTGAAAAGTGCTTGCAGCAGAACATTCAATGCCTCCATGTTGAGGTCTGATTCTCAGCCTACCATGTTCCTAGGTGGAGTCCTCTCGAGTGTTTGACAGCTTTCTAGTATAATTCAAGCCAGCTGCCTCTGCTTGAGTGGACCAATAAGGGCAAAGCACTGCTCTCCCAGAGAGTCCGTTTGTTCTCAAATTCTACCCTTCCCTTAGGAGCACCAGCAGGACATGCTTCTGCCAACTGCTGGCTTGGAGATGAGCAGGGTACATCACTCCAGGAAATAGACTTCACCCAGAGAGCATTTCCCTGGCCCCAGAGGCCCTGTGTATCTGCAGGCCTGTGTTACAGCATGCATGGCAGTGTGCAGTGTCAGGGACTTTCTAAAGTGCACATTGTGTTCTTTTCAATAATTTCAAATTAGAAGGGTGTGCTCAGTAACAAAGAGACAACCCCCCCCCCCGTGGAACTATTAGAATGACCAAACCCCAGGACCCCAACAACATCAAATGCAAGGAGGTAGGACATCAGGACTGTCACTCATAGCCCATGTGGATGAAAAGTGGTCTAGCCCATCTGGAAGGCAGTTTTTGTTTGTAAAAGCAAGCACAAGAGCCAGCAATCGTACTCTTTAATATTTACTCATGGGACACATACAACTGCGCTATACTCTACCATCCAGCCCAGTTAATTAGGAGGGCACTTTGTTCTTCTCAACTTTAAGGTATGTTTCTTTTTTGGGTAGATTTCTATTCCATCTCACAACTATAGCATCAAATTCTGAGGAGGCAGTGGAGTTCCAGGGACTCTTGTATTACAGATCCACTCAGGGGTCATGGAGGGTGTCAGGGGCTGTCCAGGAGATCGCTGGATTTGGTTGACTCTTACAGAAGGAACACTGACTAGGTAGTGGCTAGGAATTCAATCTGAGAGTCAAGGACTCAGAAGGGCCAAGTTGGAGGATTGATGGTAAGGAAATCTAAAGAAGCAGTCCCTAAAGTCTCCTCCACAAATGACTGATGTGTAAGGATATTGGTAAGTGGTCACTAAAAGGTGATTATCACATGGGAAGATTGGCTTTCTCAGTGAGTGCCAGACATCTGGTGGGAAGCTAATCAAATCTAACCCACACTCCTCTGACACCACTGCTGTTATATAATGAGGACATCTCTGTTGGGGGCATTTGAACCCACTGGAATTGAGTAGACTTTTGTTTTGGTTAAAGGTGGTCCTCATCTATTCTCTTTTAGCATCACCATCGTGGGCTAACAGAATGCCCACTTCACACTGGTACAACCCAGGAAGATGACTGACGTTACAGCAGAAGAGGCAGTGGGCTGACACCAATAGAAATTACTGTGTATCTGGGTATAGTGGTGTACACCTTCGATCTTAGCTCTTGAGAGGCAGAGGCAGAGACAGGTAAGATATCTGTGAATTCTAGACCAGCCTGGAATGTATAGTTAGCTCCAGGCCAGCCAGGACTACATAGTGAGATCCTATCTCAAAACAGACAATAAGAATTCACTTTGTAGCTATATGCTCCATCACCCTCATAATGTGGAATAGTGGGATGGATATTCTCTGGAAGATTCCACATGGGAACTAGCTGAGAGGCACCCCTTTATGAGGTCGAGCTCTGTTCCTATAGGATGTGATATGCATTTCCAAGGCAAGTGATGTAAACTGCTTTGCTTTTCTGTGAACCAAAGAAACTTGGGGATGAGAGTGGCTCTTATTCGCACTAGAAGACAGACATCATGGAAGTGATGTGCCTTGGGACACTAAGCAAATATGATGCTTTTGCTTTTGTTTTGTTTTTTGAGGCTACCCTAGACTCTGTGTAGTCCAGGCTGATCTCCAATGTGAAATTCTCTTGCCTTCCTGAGTGCTGGGATTCTAGGCATGCACCTCCACACCTGGTTACTCAATACAGTTATGACTATAGGAGGCCCCAGCGCTAAGCAGATAGATATAGATCCAGATTATAGGGAGATGGAACTAGATCAGCCAAGCTTGGTTTCCCAAAATCCCCACCTTTGTCAAGAGACTCGTGTTCTGCAGGACCTAGAAAAGTACCAGCTACATTTCTTAGCCTTTACATTAGGACTGAGTGCAGGCTGTATTCTCCCTGCATTGGGTACCTTTGATCAAGACTGAAAAGAAAGCTGTTTGGTCATATCCCACTTCTGGCTGGTGTTGCTATGTGTATGTAAGAATCAGGTGATGACAGCCGAGGTGGTCATAACAGACTCTTCCCTCCAGTTAGTCCTGGGAGTTGAGATGCAGCTGTGCTGAGAACTGCTTCCCATTGGCTGTCAGCCCCACCAATGCGTTCTTGAACTCAACATTCACAGTGCTTCCAGCAAAGGCAGTAGCTAACTACAGGATGTAGTAAGCCATCTCTGCAGACCCAGCCCGCATCCCACACTCCAGCTTTCCAGACCTGCCTCCTGATACCCTGCATTAAATCTCTCAGTGCTCAAGGTACCCTGAGTGATCTGTTTCCTGCCCTAAACTCACACAGCAATATGCTGTTGAGAGGGTGGCATAACAGATGAGAAGCACGTGCCATGCTCAGAACCTCCTGCGTGCTAAGCACTCACTAAATGGCAGATACGAGTAGGGAGGCCGTGTGTGTGTGTGTGTGTGTGTGTGTGTGTGTGTGTGTGTGAGAGAGAGAGAGAGAGAGAGAGAGACAGAGAGAGACAAAGAGAGACAGAGAGAGACAGAGAGAAACAGAGACAGAGACAGAGACAGAGAGACAGAGAGAGACAGAGACAGAGATTTTTTTTGGTTTTTAGGAGACAGGGTTTCTCTGTATTGCTTTGGAGGCTGTCGGTCCAGCCTGGCCTCGAACTCACAGAGATCCGCCTGCCTCTGCCTCCCGAGTGCTGGGATTAAAGGCGTGCGCCGCCAACGCCCGGTGAGAGAGAGAGAGATGGCCTGGCAATCACTTTACTGACTGAGCCATCTCAGGCCAAGCCTGATGATTGTTGTTTGGTTAACAGATTTGACCTAATGTCTCCACACGTCACCTTTAATTAGCAGTAGGAAATCACGGATGCCTTCCCAGCCCAACTATGTATTTTGACCCAGGGCCCAAAGGTAATGCCTGCCCCCCCACCCCCAGCCTACCTTCTTCCCGCTGATTGTGTACACCTGCTTCACCGGAAAGCGCAGGAGCTCAGAGGCTTTGCTGAAGAAGGCCTTCAGGCTCCTGGTGTTCCTGTGACTGACAACCACTGTCTGCTGGCACCTAGGATCCCCATTCTTCACCAGCGTCAGCTGCCTTGGGGCCTTGAGACCCTTCCAGGAAGAGGATGTTTCAGGAGCTTCATGCCCACCTTCAAACCCCCGTGACTGTCCAGCAGAGGGGCTTTTCCTCTGCAGCCGGCCTGGCTCTCGGGGAGTTTTAGGGGGCTTCTTATCGGAGCAGAGGTAGCAGCCCCCATCTTGCAGCTGCTCCAGGTCACTGAGGCCATGCAAGCCCCGGGGGGTGGTGACAGAGCGCACCCCGAAGGAAAGAGGCATTCGCTGAGACAGCTCATCCATTAGGGCGCTGAAGGTCTTGAACGTACGCTGGTGAACAGCCAGGCGAACCCCAGCAAATTGGGGATCCCCCCGCTTGAGGAAGGTTATCTTCTTAGCTGGTGTCACCTCGGCGACAGAGGGAGTGTGAGCCACAGCCGGGAGGAGACACTGCCGGTGACTTGGGGCAGGAGCATCCCTCGCATCTCCTGGGGTGTTGTTCATGATGTGGAGGCTCAGACAGCTATATCAGAGAAGGAAGAGAGGCTCAGAGGGCAGGGCATAGTTAGGGCTGTCTTTTCTCTTCCCTTCGTTATGGATATGCTTCCTGACACCCCACATTAGATCCACGCAGCTGCGTAGAAACAGTTTGATCCATCTGGGTTAAAGGCAAAGATTTAGCATTGGATAGGTTTGTGTCAACCCCTACATCCCCCATTTGCTACCCATGTTACCTGGAAGGACAATGACTTAGTCCCATCTGTAGAATTCAGCTTAGTCTGGATAATGGTTACAGTAAGCAAATGAATTTATACATCTGAAGCACTTAGCATAGAGCAAGAGTCAAAAGTCTCTATTCTCTTCCCTCCTCTAGCTGTTTCTATTGCCCTCTTCTGCCAACATGCAACCCATCCCTGACCCCCGCTGAATGTCCTGTTTTCGCCTCTAAAAATGTAGGTAGACAGAACAAAGAGTGACACTAACAGGTAGGATGCTATACAGAGTCAAGAGCTCTGGGCAGCTTGTTTCCCTCTCCTGCTGTCTCCCTATGCGCCCTGGGGAATCTCTGTCTCTCTGGACTCCATTCCTTCAGCTGTCGGGTGGAGGACTGGGGTTCAAGCTCTGGTTCCAAAGCCTCTAGGGACAGGGAGTCAGACAAGGAGACTTGCAACCTTTGTCTACACAACCTAAAGCAGGATGCATCACTTCATAGCCCATGTCTTCTTCACTACATTGTTGTTTGCATTGGTATTAAAAATAAGTTAGGGGCTAGCAAGATGGCTCAGTGGGTATGCTTACTGCCAAGACTGGTGACCTTGGTTCAGTCTCTGGGACCTGCATGGTGGAAGGAGAGAACCAATTCCCATAAGTTATTCTCTCACCCTCATGGGTGTATGTACAAACACACACACACACACACACACACACACACACACACAATGTTTAAAAATACTTAAGGCTATATCTAAGATCCCCCTAAAGTCTTCTCTGTGGGTGGTTATCAGCTTGCTGGCACCAACAGGGGAGACTAAGACACAGGCCTGTCCCCACTGTCCATTTCCACTTCCACTATCCCATGGTGTGCAGCCCTGTTGCAAAACCCTTTCATCTGCCTCTCTTGTCCCAGGTCACCATACTCCCCTCTGCCTATGGCAGCCAGGTTGCTCTGAAACCCAGATTCTTGTGTTCCCAAACTTTCCTGGCTGCCAAGATCTGTTGAAAACATCTTCACCTTTGTTCCACTACTCAAAGACTTCTCCCATGTGTCCCCCGTCAACTCTGTGAGCCTGGCCTCTTCTCACGGAAGGACGCTAAGGTTCTCCCGTGAGGTGGCCCTGCCCTTCTGTACCCCACTGTGGCTGTCCTCTTTGTTGAGACCCCTCCAATTCCCATTGTTAGTGTAGCATCCCGGCAGCTCCAACCCTCCAGGCTATGCCTTTACCAGCTTACCCCACCTGGAAGCAGAACCCGTGCTCTCCAGGGCACCCAGCCTCATGCCTGAGAGGTAAAGGTGCATTGACAACCAGACCCTCTTAGCGCTTCCTACTGAGACTGGATCCGAGCTGATAGGGTTAGGAGAGGATTTTCCTGACTCGGGAGTGCTCAGTGCCGCAATCGGCATCCTTAATGTACATGGGGGGAAGCTACTAGGGCCACGACTCACCTCCCTGGAATTCCATTTAGCCCCATGTGTTGCACAGAAAAGGTTCTCCTCTCATTTTCAAAAGCATGGGGCACAAAAGAGCCTTGTAATCCTCTCATCTCTGGACAGATGTATAATTAGCTCCCAAGAGCTGTCTGCTGTCTAATCCCTGCAAGCTGCTCCCATTAGCCCTCCAGCCTATGTTATTCCCCAGTGCCTGCCCATGGGGGCTATTTGCCCCTCCTAATGTCCATTTTCACTCACAATGACAGCCCTTGCTGAGATGCCAGAGAGGAAGGAAGCACCATACTGTCCCCAGCACCACCATGGACATGGGCATCATCATGTCTGTAGCACCATCGTGTTACCACATCAGTATATTCCTGTGATCACCATGTCTATTGGGATATTCATGTCTATCATGCCCCAATGTCACTATGCCCCAAAGATACACTCTATCCCAAATATCATATTGTCCAGCCAGCATATTCTCCCGCATCACTGTGTCCCACCGTGACTCTGTATACTCCAACATTACCATCTCCTTGATTGACAGCATCATGTCTCCAGCGCCACTGTGGCCCTCAGTATCACCATGGCCTCTAGCAGACAGGACTCCTGCTCCTACATCCCAATGGAGCAGCAATTTAGTAGGACACCCCAAAGGCAGAAGTCTAAGGCAAAGCTCCAGGATTCTGACATTCTTCTAGACTGTAACTGCTTTCTGAATTGGGATTGCTGGTCACTAAATAGGCTTCATGACCTGTGGGATCCTAAGTGCCAAAACAGAGCTGGCAATTCTTGACTCTTCTCCCAGTGAATGCCCTACACCAGTGTGTAACAGCATTGTGTAGGTCACCCATATACCTTTACCCTCACACCATACCAGTTTTCCATTCATACCCTCAGACAACTCAAGCATGCTTTTATGGGCACACGCACGCACACGTATTACACACATGTGTACCCACATACAAACACACACTTTAGAAGGACTCTCAGTCCCAGGAGAGGGAGCTGGAGGAACAGGGCTACCTGGCTGGGATCTGTGAAGGGGGGACATTACAGAAAGAGGTGGCACTGATCTGTAGCCTTGTCAACAGAGTCTGGGAAGGTGAACCCAAGGTTCTGTGGGAGTCACCAACAAGCAGAACTTGTGGCCACAAGGATGGGAGTCAAAACAAGGAAGAGTCCTTTCTTTGAAGAAGGGTAACAAATCTTTTGATCCCTTCCTCTTCAAGTTCCTCTGGTGTCACCTGGCTGTTTGCTCACTCATATTCGCCAAAGATTACTGAACATCGGCTATTCTTTCCTGTATATTGGGTGACAGGAACACAAAGACTAAAATGTCATGGCACCTACCTACAAGGCCTGCACACTCTCATGTGTTCAGTAGAAACACTATAGCTAAAGCTTTTTAGTTTCAGTGGTCCCATAATCCAGTGGACAACCCAAGACAGTGAGTGCTGTGATATCCTTGGTGAATGAACAAATGAATGAATGAATGGGAGAAAGCAAATGCTTGTGAATGGGGAAAACTCAAATGGTCCTTGAACATGGACTCTTCAGTAATAAGAGTCAGAAACTCTCCCTTGGTGGGTATGAGTTGGGGTGTAGATCATGGCATTTAAACCTTGCATGGCATTGACTAGCAGCAGAGAGCACCCTCATTTCACTGGACACAGAAGCTAGAGCTGAGATAGGAAAGAGCCTGGGCTGCCAGGTGGGCTAAGGCCCCTGTTAGATCACCGAGGTGCCTCATGCATCACAGGAGTAAGCCCAGCCTCCTGCAGGCAGGTCTTCAGAGGTGATGCAAAGGACCAGGCACTGGCCAACGCAGAGCAGGGTTCATCTTGATTTCCCTCCTACGTCCCTCCTTTCTTGGTCTTTATCCTCCCTCCAGAAGGAGCCTTGAAATGGTCTTTTCCTCCTTCACCAGTCAAGCTGAGACTGGTCCAGGCAGGATGCCATGCACCTGTGGGCACCTGTTCCAGCACAGTGGCAGAACCACCTGCAGAACATAGACCACTTCCTTGACATTTACATTCACCTGAAGGCCCAGAAAAGATGGATGGTAAGGAGGTGTGGTTCCCAGCACCACTGTCCTCCTAGTTAGGGGGGTCACACGGGCGGAACTAGTATAGCGTACATCCCAGAAAGGGGCAGCACCCCGTCAGGCAATGCTGGGACCAGTTGCTTACAAGGAGCTCTTCCCCAGTTTTCTAAGCACCTGGAGGTCCCCTGCCCCCAGGGTGGAGGGAGACAGGGTCGCCTGGGAGTCAGCATCTTTCTGGAAGTCTGTAACAAATGATCCTGGTAGCACAGGGTCTATGTGGCCCCACCACTTGTGGTGGAGTATCCCAGGGAACCCCAGGGCCCTGAGGACACTGAGTCTGCCTGGAGGGGTGGAGTCAGGAAGGATGGAGAGGGCGGAAGGGTGCGGGGATTTCAGGGGAAGTGGACAGAAAACAGAGGCTTCCAGCTTGGGGGTGGAGAGGTGGATCGGAGAAAAAACAGATTAAGGGAGAAAAAATAGAAACCACAGGAAACACTCAAAAAGGTGACAGACCAGGAGGAATTGGGCTGGGTGGGCCCTGAGGGCCTGGGGGAGGAAACAGTTTAGCTGGCCAGAGACCTGGAAGTGGGCTCTGCCGAACGAGAGGCTGGAGGCCAGTGAACAAGTAAGATAAGTAGATTCAGGAAGAGAGTAAATATGGTGAGAGAAGTCAGCAGGCAGGGACAATGACATCACTGCCAGACCTAAAGGGGATGGGCAGAGGGGAGGCGACATGCTGGAGACCTTGAACAGCTGATGAGTTCACACACAGAAGCTAAGAACTGTAGGTAAAAGGGCACATGGCTCCCAGAGGTGACAAGAGTCACAGACGGTCACTTAGCAGGGAAATAAGTCCTTGGGGGATCCCAATTGCTAGAGGGGGTCTGAATGGGCCGTAAGGGGGCATATGATCACTTTAGCATAGCCTTCCAGTGGCTCAACTCCACCACAGCTACAAGGAATTTGATTTTATGGTCTTCTAAGAAAGAAAGCAATAGAAATCTTGGTGAGCTAAGATGTGGTATTAATAAGGGCCAAGTGCAGTGAACACCTATCCATGATGGAATGTAGAGCAGTGTAGCCCCCAAGCAAAGCAATGTGGTGGAGGATCAACAAATTGACTGTAGAATTAGCACAGACCCCAGCAATCCTGTGAATGCGCTCTGAAAGCAGGGTGGGCGGGTGTACAGCAACATCCACAGGGGTTCATTCACAGGAGCCAGGATCTGGACCCCACCCAAGTGCCCATTCCCAGATGGATGGATAAGCATCATGTGATACAGAATTATTAGTGAACTTGGAAAA